TCCATGTGCAACATTCCTTCTGCCCGCTGTGATTCCACTTGCTCCCCCCACCCCCCACCCCAGTTGCCATAGTGCCCTTACCATCTTGCCGTTGGTGTCCTCTGCAGGGACATTGTCCCGGTGCCCGGGGAGCGGCCCATGCTGTTTGGGCACCTCTCCGCGCTCCCCAACGATAGAGAGTACATCCCCTTTGACGCCATGCGGAACATAGACGTCGGCCACCAGGTGGCCATCGCCATGTCCAACGCCGACTAGAGGTGGCCACTCAAAGGTGCCATCCGGTCCGTTAAATCCGGTTCGTTAATTTTTATCAGCTGTCCGTTAAATTTCGTTAAAGAAAAAAGGAGAAAAATTCAGAAAAAAATAAAAAAGTCCCAAAAATTTAAAAAAAACCCAAAAAATCACAACAACTATGGCTAGTTGAAAATCTAGTATGCATAGGTTGAAATAAAATACAAACATACTCTCTAATAGCGAATTCCATAAATTATAAGTATGACTAAAACCCAAAAATCCCCAGAAAATCCAAAAATCCGTTAATTTTTGGTTTATTTTTGTCTTTTTTCGTTTTTTTCGGTTAATTAACGGAAAATTAACGGAAATTAACCTCTGTCTGCTATTAACGGATCCGGGTGGCCACCTCTACAATACACACCACCTTGGTCAGTCTATTAATAAATGCAATAACAATATTATGACCATCCATAGTTTTGGGGCGTTGTGTAATAAAATCCATGTGCTCCAAGACCAAATGATACAACAACCTTAGTGGAGAGTAGCACTTGCCCTTGTTAAGCCGCAAACCTGCCTTGCCAGGCACATACTTCTTTACGGGGACTTAGGGGGGACCACCCCGTCCCACTCCCATATAATATAGCATAATATGATAAGTCTGGTTTGGGCATTATAACCATATTCTGGGCAAGGCGTTCCCCGCTTCAAGAGACCAAGGCAGGGCATCCCCCACACTAGGCCTGCGCATAACAGTAAGCCACCCAAATGTCACTTTGTCCCTGTGCCCATTGCGGTGTTCTAAACCCATTGAGTTGTTAGTTGTCCCACAACCATTTTGACCCGTACGCACCAATGCTGTTGTGTTTATGAATATGGCAGCTCCCAATAGCTCTCCACCCTTTTGCTAGTATACATTACTCTATTATACAAGGAGGATATTTGTGATATGGCCGCTTGGGGGTGAGGCTTAATTGACATTTTTTGGAGTTGTAGTGAGCTATCTCTTCAAAACAACTTACAACCTACTTGTGAGCTTATTTAGAAGCTCTTGATGCCCCTAGGCTTTTGAAACGCCCAAATCCGTTATGAATTGAGGAAGTTATGGCCCTCCAAAGTTGTAGCACTTAGGGCTTTTAACGGATGGGGCTAGTAATTAAGTCTAGAAGGAAATGGGTCAGTCGTGGGTCAACGGGGGATGGTGACATGGCTCCTGGACATGCATTTGTGTGTCTTGTCTTGATATAATAGTCATGGACCCATCATCGGGTATCGGACATGCAGATATAAGTGTGCGCATACGGTGAATCGTGTAACCATTCTGGTACATTCTATGGCCTCCCGCAAGCTAGCAAACCACCGCCTTGTTGCGCCGCCACCTCTTACCAACAATAGGCCTCTTGGATCGATCTCCATCGAGCATTGGGCATATTGCACGACCAAGGAAATGATTGCGCTGGATACGCCCACCGTCCAAGGTGGAGAGGCCAGCTGACCTCCAATAGCCAAGTTGCAGGGCAGGGCGACCCCAGCGCCTCCAAAAAGCAGCGGTAGCCGGCGGGCCGCAACAACATCTTTAGCCCATCCATTCTAATGGATAAGGCTATTTTATGGCCAGTTTGTCCCGTTGTGTTTTAATATTTCATGTACTAAATGGCCCCTCATAGCCACTGGCAGTTGGCGTTCCCATCGCACCAATCTGCCTTCTCTATCCAGTGCATGGTTAGCTTATAATACTCTTAACACATGTAGGAGCACTAAAGTTCATAGTTAGGTATCTAAAGGTTAGTTGTATCTTATTCCACTCCTCCATCCCATATAGCTTACCTTCGTCCCTTTTTGTGGGGCGGATAGCTATTGCATGTATGCAAACTTTTGCAACAATATTCGATAGGCCACAGTCAAAACAAAAATGACCAGTGTCCAGTGTTCATGCAGCGAAATGTTTGCCCAAACGTTTTGCACTGGGAGGCACCAACCAAGAATGCAAGGCACACTTTGCAATAGGGAACACCAGCTAGTAGCACAAGCCACACAATGTTATGCAATGGGGAACACCAACCAAGAACACTGGGGTAAACACTTGCCATATTGGTGATGATTTTTTGATGTAAGTTGGGAGTACACCCGTTGAACGCCTTGCACATCTTTCTAAATATGGGGTCTCTGCCGTCGACAATGGCATGTTGTTAGCAACTATCCACCATAAATTGCAACATTTGTTTGCTTCCAAAGTACGATCCTCACCATGTAGGCTGGCTGCTCCATATACCGGGTAACCGTCTGGAGCCACCCCCCAACCCAACCCACCCCGCCACCCCACCTCTCTTGCGGCCATCTGGTCCTTAAAGGTCGCCATGGGGAATGGCTTGCATGCAGCTGCGGCTTTCTCCAACAGATCCACAGCCAATTGCTCATGTGATTTGCTGATCTTGTGGGACTTTGTATACTTCTTATTTGTGCCAAACAAAGAGTCCTTGAAGGAGGTCACCTTATCGTGAAGCCGACAAATTATTTTATCATAGTCGGCCTTGCCTTTGCTCTCCCAGTCCCCATCTCGCAGCTGGCTGGGATTGCTGGGATTTGGATTCAAACAATGGGGGTACCTTGCCTCCCAACGCCCCGTTGTGTTAGGGACCCACTTGGCCCTACCCGCACCACCCATGTCCTCGTTGCCGGCCTGCCCTCCTCGCCCATGAGGCAACCTACGACCCAGCCAATTGCCCGTTGCCCCTGCCTCTGCCAGACTGGCTCTCGCCAAAGTCCACCATAGTATGTGGGCCTGAGGGCTGTGTCATCCCTGGGGTGTGCATTGTCCTTGAGGTTTCAGGTCTGGCGGTGTGGTATTCTGTCGTCTCACACAATATGTGGTTGTAGTTAAAGTGGTCAAACAGCTCGTCCCAAGACCCCACGTAGTGTTTGTGGGTGATTCCGATGAATTTAAGATAGTGTCTTCTCTAAGATCTTGTTAAAGGCAAAGCGGTTGATGCAATTCAGACCTCTTACTTTGAGAACATATGAGAATTGTGAATCCACGATCGCCAATGCTTCAACAGCGTTGGCACATGGCCACACACAAGGTCACTGCCATGCGGAACTCGGGTTTGCATGTTTGATCATCCGGTTCCAAGTTTGATCAGGACTTTCCTTGCCAAACGACCACCACGACCAAACTCTGACCATGCAGATTTTCCCTTGTCTCATGAACCACCTGTCCACCTCTTCGACCCCCGACGACCGCCATCAATCACAAACATCAATACTGAAATTGGGCCACGATTGAAGGTTTCAATCAAAGAAATGACTTTTCGGAGATTTTCATGAACATATCCTCTTTCTTTTTTCACAAACTGCCAAGCTTCAAGCAAAGAAGTACACACAGCCTGGGAAGCTACCAGCTCTATGTTGCACCAAGGAGTAACAAGCCTGCCCCTCGGAGTGCCAAACATCTCTTTGCCTTTCTTGAGAGCGAGATTATTTCGGATTCAACCAATTTGGGGGCTTGACATTGTCTTGCATGTTCTTGCTAGGGGGCACAAGGCCCGCATATCGTGTGATAGGACGGGGGAGGCACCTGGACACTGAAATGCAATGCAATATTTGAAATTAAAAAACACCCAGGGAGGCTCATCCGCAGTTTGAGTGAGGCATGCATTATGCCTCCACATCAATGGAGGAATCTCCGGTTTGGAGAGGAGAGTAGTCAGTCTGGGGATCCTCCCCACATGAGAAGACGGATTGCAACACTCTGGTGTCGAGAAACAAATGGATAACTTTTGGCGTTAAGGGGTGATGCAGTCGGTGTTGAGAATGCCTCGGGGAATTAACCAACACCGGGTATCTGTGTGGCATACTTCCCTCGTGCAACATTTTGCGTGCGCTACGCTTTTGATCAATCAACAGTTGGACTAAAGGAAGCAATTATTTCCCTGCGCACTCTTGGGCGTCGCAGAACCTCGCGGCAGTGGCAAGAGGCCACGTTGAAGTTGCCTATCAAGAGTACATGTGACCTTGCGCATGGCTGCCCGGTCATGCCGTCCTCACGCCTGTCAGCTCTCCTGCTGGTTCGTTTATTGGCTGCGACAGCCTGCCTCTGAAGGCACGGACGTCACGAGCGCTTCTCCTGCTGCCGGACAAGGTTTGGCAACGCCATAGCTATCGCGCGTTGCATTAACTCGCAACCACAGTCCCTGCGATAGCTGACTCAGCCAATGTGACTGCACAATAGCGCAAGAGCAAAATGTTCAACCCGCACCTGTCTCCTTCGAAATCATGTTACATCGAAAACCTTCCTGCACATCCTGACAGGAGCGGTTCAATTGGCAATTGCCCCGCCGTTGTCCACTGTGATGTTTCCTGCCATTCCAGAACTCCACGACTTCTCGAGGCTGTCCGGGCTGCCAGAATTCGCCCCACGGTGCACTCAATATGCTCATCTCAACACTTCATCTCCATCCTTGCAAACATCTGCACCACGTCGCGACGCAACATCGAGCAGGACGATCTATGCGTCATGTGAATCGCTCACCAAGCACCATGGAGCTCTGGCCGGAGATTTTTCCCCTGCTCTGACCAGCCACCCCGTTCTGCATCTTCTCAGGCGGTTCTGCATCGCCACACTCAGCGCACACAACAACCCTACTTCGACCCCAGTCCCCAAAACGTTTCCATGAAACAACCCTAAATCCATCCCCGTATCATCCATATTTTAGGGAAAATTTTAAAGAATCGGACAAGACCAATTGGGGAAAACCTAGGAGCCGACAGATTCATGACGGCCATCCAAACGACACCTCCGGGATGCCGGTGTCTGGGATGTTGCTCAGAAATTGGCTGCGCAGTTTCTGAGCCTCGAAGCGCAGCAGCAGAGCGGCCCCCGCCACTACAGTGGCCGTCATGGCCAGCCGGGGGTCCGATGCTCTGACAGCAGAACACACTTGGATCATGTCTTCAGCAAGTGCACAAACGCAAGTTTACCTTTGGCCCATGGCTCCACAAACAGCCTAAATCGGCACCAACAGATGTCGAAACTTGGAATGTGGAATCAATGAAAGAAACCGTGAAAGAAACGGGGCCTGCTTGAGCTGACTTTGAAAATCTCAATGCGTGATTTGCATCTCCTTGATACGTGCTCAGTCGTAACATTGCATGGACGTGAAAGAGAAATGAAACACGCTCATCCAGATGGGTTAAGATGTGCAGAAGGATGCACGGCCGCCAGACGGCAGTGCGCCTCACCTCATACAGACCAACAGCGCCGCCAGTCCTAGAAAGATGGCAGCCGCCTTTGACACGACGGCTTCCATTGCGCCAAGAAATTTCAACGACTTGCGGCAAGTTGGGCAGCGTCTGCTGTGCAACTCCCACCTGCAGCACAGATTTCCACACTTGAAAATTTGTGCACCGGCAATCCTCATACAATCAAGAAGTGATCAAGTGGCTTATCACTTACTTCAATTCACACCTGGCAACATGTGTCTCACAGCCATTCTTGAACGCTTAAACAAGTGAGTACAAACCACAAAGTCGATATTCAACAAAATTGTGGTTGATGTGGTTGATGGGTGAAAATTTTTCTACACGCGCATAATGGCTTCCCAGCAGCCCTTGAATGTCCACCCACAGACACACACACACACCCAGATCCACATGCAAGAGTTTGACCGTTGATGGCATGCCCAATCAAGTGCCGTTCTAGCCAAATGCGCTGCTACAAATCCAGCACTCAAAACTTGTTAAAGCAAGCAATGTGCGAACTCACTATTCTAGGAGAAGAGAATGACCACATTCACACAGCACTTTGCCACCTATCAAACATGCCATCCTGCCGGATTTTCTGCACGGCCTCCGCCTCTGTGCCTCCACCAAACCAAGCTGGCTCTCCTCCCCCATGCATTTCCATCCACTTGCGAAACGCGGCGACGCCAACATCTGAGGGAGTTGGGAGGTACGTCTTCTGTTGAAAGGGCATATTGCTCCTGGATGCAAGCAAACAAAATGAGCTGCAAGTTATGCACAGTCAGCATGGCAGCCAGCCTGACCAAGTCAGGCGCTCAACTGCTGGCGGCAGCCAGACCAAGCAACACAGCCAGCCATGCATTTCCATCCATTACAGGTGCATCAGTGTTACACGATCTTCAGCCTTCAACACAAGTAACACTGGTTGCCAAAGGGCAACAAGACCATGGCCGGATTCCAACAATTCAATATTAAGAGCTGTGGTTCAAAATGAGCAATGTTTTCCAGTGCAAGCTCGCATACATTTTGCGCATTGTGAGAAATTTCTGTCATTGGTTTGTGCTAATATTGACAAGGTATTTTTACAGAGCACACTTGGCACCACGCTTTGGACATGTACCACACTTCAGTGTGCCATTGCACACTGGAAATCTATAGTCATGTTTTTGCTTTGTGTAGCCCCAAAATAATCAACAACTTTGCTGTTGCAGCTTAGTGAAACAACCAATTTCTTTCATTGTATCAATAAAAAACATGCACACTGTCATACAATGAGCATCCACCCCCTGAACTAGCTGTCTTTGAGACTCGTTTCCACTCTACTGCATTGCAATGCAACAGAGCATAGCATGCTGCCTGTGAACTCATGTCCAGAGCATAGAGCCTTGGTGGCTTCCCAGCATGGTGCGCACCCAATGAGGGCGAGGTCTTCAGAGTGCAGTGAGACCTTGTCCTGGTTGCCCATTTTCACCAGCAGGCCATGATGCTGCAGACTCTTCCTCAGAAAATCTGGGACAATCCCAAAAGCCAGCTTCTTCAGCATCAGGGGCCATGCTGCCAATGCACCCACCACCTTCTGTGCAATATCCCCTAGCTGCAGTGCACCCTGCTCACAATTGCCAGAAAATACAGCTGCAATCACACAACTTGGTCGTGATGTCAACACATGGTACGTTGCCGATACATGGCTTTGAGCAAATGGAAGTAGCTTAGGTACAGGTAACAGGTATGTGAAATTCATTTCATTCCCACAAACTGCAGCATACTTGCCTCTGCTGAAGGTGGGGGGGTTACATTCGATGTGTCTCTCTTGAAGGCTGCATAGAAACGTGTGTGGCCTGGGCGCAAGGGAACGTAGTTGATCTCAAAGTTGACGATTGTGCCATCGGGTGATACGTTCCTCCAGCAGGTCAGACAGGGGGGGGTGAACTGCATGGTGAAGTCCTTCCTAAGGTCTCCCTTGAAGTACTGACCATGCGAGATCTTGAAGCCACCGTTGGGTGTCATGTCTCCAACCTAATTCATTGCAAGCACACCGAATCAGGAAGTCATTGTGGGGAAACATATTGACAGGGCTGTGAGGTGCAAATCCAACTGCATCTGCTGAGAAGATTCATTACCCTGCTCTTTTCATCTTAGGTTTCAAATTTCCGCAATGGGTTCAGAATTTCAGGTGAGCACCCCCATACTCACCGGGCAACCACCCTGTTGTTTTGCTGCAGAGAGTCCTGACACAGAGTGGTGCCATGATACCATTCAACAAGTTGCCAATCCATGCACTCACTACTTGTTTCCAGATCCATCTGTGTTGCAACCAGAAATGAATGCAACCTCAAAAGGCCTGCGGAATCAGCAGCACGGCTGTCACTGCAGGAGAGTGCAATGCGATGCATGAGTGCAAGACAGGCAATGGTTGCTGTCAACTGTTCAAATAGCCTGACTGAAGCCAGTGATAAAGATGAACTGGCAGATGTGACAATTGGTGGTAAAATATCATGTCTAGAAACAGACCATGCTCAGTTGCCTGACCGAAGCTGACAATTTTGGAATGATTGTGTGCAGCTCTGCAACGCAGCAGTTTTCAACACCGTTTTTCTCCATTTCTTGTGCTACATACCGAATCCCCAAGCAGCAATACATGACGATTGAAGATGCCTCACCTGTTTTGCAAACATCATGGGATTCTCAGCTGCTGGGGAAAAGGTGGGTGGCTGGAATTTGGAAAAGCCAGAGGGCATCCCATTGTGCAAGTGAAAGAGGTGTGCAGGATCAAAGATGTTCTCCATAAGGGCCCCAAAGGTGACTGCATATTCATCTGTGCTCCACACTGCGTCTGGCTCCGTGACTGCCCCCACAGCCGGCTTTGCCATGGCAGCATCCACCCAGGAGGTGGGGCTTTCGTCGGGCCACACCCAGAGGAAGCTGTGAGCCTCCAGGGTGGGGAAGGCCACGATTTTGGAGCGGCTGCTGGCACAGGCAGTGGCCTCGGAGGTAGCATCGGTGGCCTGGGGGATATGGGTGCATTCGCCGCGTCCATTGAAGCACCACCCTGCAGGGAGATCGGCAAACTAGTCAGATTGGCGTGGGGACTGAACTCTCGGTTCCTTGATACGGCCACAACCACAATTTGTGGACGATGTAATTCCATTTGAGTACATTGCTCTTCTCTGGTGAGCATTTGCAGCCCGGCATTGAAGCACACTCAAGGGCGACAAGAAGCGCGGTTTCACAATTCACTGCTGGGGACCTGCAGTGGGGCCCATCATGTTCTGCAATACCAAAGCACCATGCGCTTTCATTGATGCAGGTGGCATGCTACCCATCAGTGGCCTAATTGCAATGGCAGTACATTGCCATTCTGGGGCACTTGTAACAAAACGATTGGCACAACTACATATGCGGATGCGTGCTGTAGGCCAGCAGCCTGTCATTTGTCCCAACGATGCACTAATTATGCCATTGACCAACTCCATCAACATCATCAGCATTCACGCCCATCAATGGTGCACATCAGGGAACAGAGAAAGTTCTGCAGATTTCAAAGTGGCTTTGATTCCTGTGTGCATGGGCGAATCCTCTTCTTTTATGCAGCCTTGAATGCAGCAACTTTTGCACAGCTTTGAGTGCACCAAGCACAAAGGGAACTTCATCACAGGTGCTTGACATGGACAACAGTTGCCCCATTAAGGGAAACAAATTCGAGGCTGTCATTCTTTTTCAGATCTGCTTGCATGGGATGAGACATGACATTATCTATTGATATTCCAGGTAATGATTTCAACAGTAGGAACAGTCAGGGACACTTTTCTTTGTTCCAATTGAATCAATGACACTCAGGGGTCTGCGCATGGTTGCACGATCAGACATTCCCCAAACCAGCTTGCATCCTGCACTTGCTGTGTGCAATCTGTTTTCAAGCGACCGGATAGATTCAATGACCTTGTGCAGATGCTGCTCCCGCAGTTATGGCTACACAACCCATCGGACGCACAACTCAACCTCGACCCCACTCCCACCTCGTGCTCCGACACTGGTAGGACAGAGGGGTCATTGTGCACACTCGGCTGAAATACACAATGAATTTTGCATTACCACCTTCCCTCCCCTTCCCACCCACCCCAAAGAAAATAGACAACATAAATGGCACATGTCATAAATGGCACGTCTCGAGGACAGCAGTCTGCACATGGATCTGGCGACTAAGATCACCCACACCTGGGGTGGAATGTGTCTTGTGAGGGGAAGGGGGGGAGGGGAGGTATATGGTTGGAGGAATGTACATATGTGGATGCATATAGCACACCACCTGTGGCAGGTGGGCCAAAACTGCGCGAAACCAAATGTTTAATTAGCTGCATGGGTTTTCAGCAGTTTCCCCAGTGTGCCCTAGGCATCCTTGCAATTCTGTCTTCTGGAGTGTGATGTGTCAACTGTCCTTTCAGGGATCAAAACGTGTTCGCAAGGAAGCTTTTTGCGTGAGGTTCACTTGGGAACTCTTTCATGTGCAGCATAACTTACCCAAAACTGCTGAGCACAACAGGGAGAGTACGCGTGGATTCGCAAGGGGGGGATTTGAGGCTCCCGCAATTGAGAGCGGCGTACCGTGATAGCGGCAGGCCAGCGTGCCGTCTTTCTGGACGCTCCCCAGCGACAGGGCAGCCAGTCTGTGCGAGCACCGGTCCTCCACCGCCCGCCACTCCCCCTCCGCGTCCTTCCACACGACAATGTCCCTCCCCAGGATCGTCTGCCTCTGGATCTGCGGCAGCCCGGACTCGTACCCCTCCCCCCGCGCCTCCTCCAGCCACTCCAGCGGCACGATCGGGTACCAGTGCTTCGCCCACACGAATTTTTCATTCCCGATCGCCTCCTCTTCCTGCTGCTCCGCCTGCCTCTCCGGCGCGGCCACCGCCACCGTCGCCATCCGTCGCGGCACCAGCGATGGTGGACGTTGGCACATCCCATTGATCGGCCTCCAGCGGGCGATGCGGCCGTCGCGGGCAGATCGCCATGAGGGCTTCGCCGGGATCGGCGTGGCGCGGGCCAGGCGACCGGGAGGCACGACCGGGAGCGCCGGGGTGGACGCCAAGGGCGCAGCCATGGCGCGACGTGGCTGGGCGCTGGGGCGCTGGACTGATGTGGACATCCGCGCAGCGTTTTGTGTGATGCGAGCCGCGAGGGCGTTGAGTACCTGAGGCTTGGGAATTGCGTGGCGCCCCTGTGGCTGTCGTACCGTTCGTCCCCCTCCCTGTGGCGGCCGGGGGGGCTTCGCAGGTTTGGTTTTTTACGCCGTTGTGTAAAACTCAACGTAATGTATTGTATTTACGGTTTTAAGCCAAAAATTAGTTTTTACGTCTTTGCACGTAACAATGCGTGTACAGCCCCCTGCACATACGTACAGTACATACAGACGTGCGGAGTCCAGGGACTGGCAGTCAGATGCGCTGAAATGGGTAGAAAACGAACTTTTGTTCCATGCCGTCATTGCCCTTGCCGAGGGCGAGGTGGGCACTGTGTTGCGGGTGCTGGAGATGGTGGAGGGTTGATCAATGTACGCAACTTTCATCGTGTAACCTGGCTGTCCCAACGAGATATAAAACGTAAAAATAGCCGTAAAAATAGGCCCTTTCGCAAATTGAATGTATGCTTCTACGCGTAAAAACGTAAAAGCAAAAACGTAGAAACCAAGTCTGGGCCCGTGGGAGGGCTGTGCCCACCGCTGGGTCTGGGAGCGTCGAGCACAGGGTCAGGCAGGTGCCGAAAACTAGAGGCGGGGACCAGGAGCACTCTGCATCCGGATTCTACCGGATGTCTGGGGTGGTGGATGGAGGCAATTATATACCAGATGGGCTAGCATTCGGGCTTTACACCCCGCAGCGGACTGGATATGGAATTCAACACATTGTTTGTAAGGGGCGACCTTGGCTCCATTTTACCCCGCAGCGTCACTTGTGACAATGGCAGAAAAGGGGTATCCACTGCAGGGACATTGTACGTTGTAAGGGGTAGCCAAGTAAGCGACCACTGGCCGAAAGGGGGAACAGAGAGAGAAAGCACTCCGATAATGTGCTGTAACAAGCAGACCTTAGTATTGAAAGCGCAGGAAGGGGGAAGATTAATGGCCCAGGGCTACCTGAAAAAACTGCCTTAAAGTACAAAAACTGATGTGTTGACCAAGGGCCATCGACGGCTCCAAGATATCTTGACCAGGCTTGGTATTTACATTTACGATTTACGTTTACGTTTTCCCGTTCACGATTTCATGCAAAAAACGTAAATTTGGAAAAGGGCGATTTTTGTGGTTGTATTTATGCTTTTACGGATCACTGTGACACCCAGGTTACACAATGAAAGCATCGTACAGTGGTCACTCCTCCGCCCCCTCGAACACTCGCAACACAGCGCCCAACCTGCCCTCAGCAACCACGGTATGGAGCAAAACTTCGTTTCTACCTATTCCATCGCGCCTGGCTGCCACTCCCGGACTCCCCAAGTCTGCAGGTACTGTCCTATATACACGGGGCTGTATGTACATTGCATTTACGCATTTTTTTGCGTTTTTATGTGTAAAACCGTAAAAGCTATTTTGCCGCAGGAAAATGTAAATAGAACCAGGTTTTTTCGGCGTAATTAGAAGCCTGATAATGGCTGGTCACAGTATGGAAAAGGGGGGCGTACGTGCGGTTTCCAAGTGGCTCCACAGCGTCCCAGCGCGCCTGCGCAGCGCACGGACGTGTCCATCCGGGCGCTGAAAGTTTTCCAAGGCCTGGACGGTTTCACGCGTCCCCAAACACTTCCAGGGTGTCCGAAGGCGCTCTGACCCGTCCAGAGCGTCCGAGGCCTCGGATGTGACAAAGATATGCGCGGACACTCATTACGGGAAAAGAGGGGCGTCTGCGCGGTTTCCAAGTAGCTCTGACGCATCCGAGCATGTCCGAGGGCGTCTGCGCAGTGCGTAGATGTGTTCGAACGGCTACTGAAAAGTTTTCCGAGGCCTCAAACTGTTCTGCGGCGCGGAATCCGCGCGTCTTCGGACACTCCCATGGTGTCTGAAGGCGCTCAGACGCGACCAGAGTGTCCGAGGCCCCGGAAGACTTTTTGGTGGCCGCTTGTACACGTCTGCACGCTGCGCAAATGCGCTCGGACGGTTGAACAGCGTGCGCAATGGTAACAGCTCTGAGGGGCGGCAAAATGACACTCGTCAGTGTGTCCCTTGGGAGGCGGCCATGTTGTGCATAGAACTATCCCCCTCCGGATTCCCCCAATGCGCCCACCCCTTGTTGCGAACTAGGGACCCGCCCGGGATGGGCGTTGACATGGAGCGACGGGTGGGACAGGCTTGTGTCCAACAAAAACAGGAGGGGAGAGTCACCACAATCAGGGCACAGCGCACCCGTCGTGACTTGGAGAAGCGCCGATGTGATGAAGGCGTGACAAGAGCAAACGCAGGTGATCAAATGACCCTTGTGGAGGAGGTCAGGCCCTTGGAGGATGCTCCGCGACAATGGGCGGGACAGGTATGAGGGGCTGACGGTTTCTGCGTGCTTTGTGTGCAGGCCACCCAGACGCCCCATCGCCCACAACTGAGGAGGCGGCGGAATTGACAGATGAGGAATTGACAAATTCTGTGGGCTTTGTTGCAGGATCCGGCGCCGAGGCGCCGGAATCACCGGCAGTTGGGGAGCCTCGTGCTGATGAACTCACGGTTTCTGTGTGCTGTGTGCGCAGGTCACCCAACAACTGCGATCGCCGGCAATGGAGTAGCCATATGGTGGACAACTGACGCTTCCGTGTGTTGTGCAGGCAGGCTGCCCTGGGGCTGCCATAGCCAGCGTTTGGGGATGAAAAGTGACAGTTTCTCTTGCTTTGTGGCCAGGCTCTCCAAATGCCATGATCTCCGGAGATGAAAGATCGCAGACCTTCGTCTTGCATTGCCGGCCGACACTGCAAAACAAAACCAACTTCGTGGGGGGCCACTTGCACCCCCACACCCCAACCAATCGCATAGGGGATCGCTCGCGCCCTCACAAGCTACCACACACCACACGCCACCACAACACGAAAAACTGGTGGTGGTGGGGGTGGTGGTGGTGTGGTGTGTGGTGAGAACAACTGCCCCCCACCCCCCACCCCCCATCCACCCACTCCCGAAGAGAATCAAAACGATCGCCGTTGAATCCACCCACTCCGCAGACAGTACATGCATGCTTCCCGGACAGTGTCTGCATGCCCTCCGGACAGCGTCCGTGCGCTACCCGGGCGGTTTCTGCAACCCCTCCGGACGATAAGGAGCATCCGCGCATGGCAAAAGTGTCCGCGCACAGAGCGTCGAGCCCATAGCAAAGTGCCCGATGCATTCGCACCGAGCGCGGATAGAAAAGGTGTCCGCGTTCTTTCTGGATTCCGCTCTGGACGCGCTTGGACGCTTCCACTTAGTGCGTGGGCGCTCCAGACGCTGCTTTTAGTGCTTCGGGCAGTGCCAATAGAACGCTCGGACGTGCTCGGATGCATCCAATCCGCTCGGGGACCGCGCGGACGCCCCCTTTCCCATTGTGACTCTAATTCCCCGGACGTCCGGGGAATGTTCAGGCAGTTTGGATGTGCCCGGGAAGCACTCGGAAGGTTGAACAACGTATGCGCAATGCGCGGACAGTTCTGAGTGTTTCTGGGGAGCACCATAGCACAGACGTTGTGCGTCCGTTGACAGTACGACACTCGCCGCATCAAAGTCAAAATGTGCCATGGCTGCCCAGCCCACCACATCGCCCGAGGCTCCATGTAGCACACCCTCCACGTGGTTGTAAGCTCAACATCGAGCACACAACATCAGCGCTGGCGAATGGCACAAAACACGTTTGGGTGGTGGACATGGAAGCCAGCGAGTGGGATTGGCAGATGCACACAATGCACACGATGCACACGATGATCTTTGAAATTGGGAGGGTGGAGCAGCCAAGGTGCGGAGCGAGGCAGAGGGGGGCGGAGGAGCGGATGCTTTGGCTTAGACACCCAGCATGCTTAGCGCGCTTCTTTGATGTGTCCTATGCTATGTGGGTGCTGATGCTCTAGTCGCTTCTGCCGAAAACCGGCCGACTCGAGCGCACAAATACGTGGGCTTAACCACCATAGCAAGGGCATCTCATTTTTTTTAATGCGGTATGTCTGGAATGGAATCAGGTCTAGTGGCTCGTCAACTTACAGCATTTGCAAGAACGGTGCCTCGTTTCTGTTAAGCCAACTGCCTGGTGCCAACCATGTGTTCTCGACTCTGAAACATGAACGAGACCCTGGAAAACAGGCTTGGGAGTCATGTTGGACATCTCCCCGCCATGCCACACCAGGCAATCATCTCTAAGACCGTCCCGTCATACAGATATGTCCCAAATGCCGGCCGCATTGAGGGCAGTGCAAGGTGCATATGGACGGTATGTGTTTTTGTTGAGGCCATTCCATTTGTGAGGTCGGCGGGGAGGACATGCAGTTTGCCAAGTCACTTTTATTGGTACCCGTTGCCCGGTGTAAGTGTGAGATGGATGGTACAATTCTTGGGTTAGCGTTTCCTTGATGTTGAAGTTTCATTCAGGCGGAAGTGGTGCTGATCAATCCGATGCACATCATTTTCACTGTGCATATGATAACTGCTAGGGGCAAATGAGCATTGTGCAATGCAATGATTACGTTGGGGCGAATTTCGCCGAGCTCAATCTCATAGCTCTTGACGGCCATATTACCTAGCCGCAAGTGGAATATAGAGAATCCAAATACAGTATTCACCCAGTATTAGTAGGCGTGTATTGAACACCCAAAATGAGTGGTGGATACTAACAATGGGTCTTGCATACTAACGCGGTTTGGGCCCCTAATCCCAAGGGGTAGGCAAGAAAATTTTTCACAAATAGACCTTGGAATGCCCAGAAATAGGTAAAAATGACAATGTTGTTACTGAATGCTGTCAGTCTCTTCATGGGATCTGGCGGCCTTGACTCGTGGCTGCACCAGGTGGGGGGCCACTAGAAATTGTGGCCAACAGGGGTTCGCTGGAATGCTCAAGGAGCGTTTGCCTCCACAATGCAAAGAACCAGGATCGACATGGGTCTCGACTCGTTGGGGCGCCACGCCACAAAGATGGGCTTGACGCGCGGTGCTTTCCTGGGCTGATGGCAGCTGGGATGGTTGATGGGATCTGCGTTTGGTTTTGCGGTCTCTTAGCCAGTGCTATGTGTGAACTGTGGATGGGCCCGGCCTTTGCAGCGTTTTCCAGGCAATTTTGTGAGGCGGGGTCTCACGAAGGCAGCTGCCCCGGCCAGCGCCGTGGCCTGCCCATTCCTGGCGCTGGGCCTTGGGGCGCCCTTGGCAGGCGCCATACCACAACCTGGTCTGGCGGGTCGGGGAGCGGGTTCACCCAATCCAGAAATTAGGGCGGCTTTGGTATCTCGACCGCTTCTTTAATCGGGTCCTGCGGCGCCGGTCGCTGCCCTGCGATCCTGCACTGAGAACAATAACGGCGACCAGTCGACCATGGGGCCATTTGTAGCCCCCCTTCCAACTTCTCCCTCGACAGCATCCACCCTGGCCCGATCGTCCTCGTCGATGCGCGAATCGCAGGGAGCACGATTTGTTCCAGACTGGGCAATACGGTCCAACACCAGTCGCCGACTTCCCTTACCACCAGTCGCGCCTTCGCTCGTTCTGTCTATGTTTTGGGGTGCATGCTAACACCCGGTCATGGATGCTAACGTGGTTTCGAACCCCAGGAAGGGGGTGGATACTAATAGGGGGAGACTGCTAATAATGGGTGAATAGAGTAGATAAAAGTGATTTGGATTCAGTGGAAATATGCCTTGTGTTCTGTGCAATTCTGCCAATGAACATGGGAAAGAAACCCAGTCCGAGAATCCTTGCCACTAGTACCCTAAACTGCAAAATGAGCTACTGGAGACAGCGGTATCAAGAGAAAACATTACACCACAAGCACATGGTCACCACCCCGCCTCCTTCCCCTCAAGCTTTGCCCCCAAGTGACAAGCTGTTCCGCTGGTCTTTGCCATCAACTTTGTAGACACCAATCCATTCAATCCATTCGTTAAGGAACATCGACTGTATAGACGACAATGTATACGTCAGTCACATATAGTTGACATATATGTTTCGCTCTAAAAAAACTCGGTGTATAGTACAATTACAACACAACGACAAATGCACCAACTTCCAAATTCGCAATCGCCTAGGACGCCCTAGAATTGGACCCTCAAAGAAATGTCATGATGAAGATTGCGCAGGTAAAAAGAGTCGGGAGCGCCATGGAGGCAGGCCCACACCAAGACTCCAATCCGTATAGCTCCAATCTCCTTTAGTTTGTCGACTGGCAGCAACACACCACTCTTTGCCAATCCTTCCATTGCTACTTTCGTTCAACATGAGGAGACTAGTTAATCGCAAAAGCCTCCAAACACCGTGGAGTCAGCCCCAGAAAACCAATTTTCATTGTTTTGATGAACTGCGACAGTATTGGTGTACCCTTTCGTTCCCCTACCCCCTGTTCCTGAGACACCGCAAGTGTGAGCGCAGTGTCAATTTCAACCAGCGTTTGCATATATCTACCTCATATCCACGGACAATGGACATCCCAAAACCACGTGGATTTGAAACGCGAATTCCAACCTTGACTGGTTTGATAAGGCCAGCACGGAGCTGCACTCGTCTCCTTCCCCATCTGAGACAAGGTGCATTCGCCAATCGCTATTGATGTCCATGGGCATGTGACGGCTTGCCTAGGATGGCCACCCATGGGCCACCTCGGGAATGCCTGAGCTCGGAATGTCTGTCAGGAATCTGGCGCGCAGCTTCTGCACCTCGAAACGAGCCAGCAGTGTCACAGCGGCAGCCGCCAGCGCTCCGAATGCCACACGAAGGTATGCGATTCTGCAGACATTCCACATGCCACACAAATGTAAAGGATTCAGTGCATCGGCATTCAAACGACTGCCGATGCGCAATGCACATATCTGGACACCAAAGTTTGGTCACATGTCATGGTAGCAATATCCTGAAATATATGTAATGCCAATACTTGCAAATGGGCAGTGTTTACGTGCACACCATAAACAATAGCCCTGCTTGTAGAATAGCTTCAGCGCAGCACGCTGTATTTGTTGACTCCAGGCTAGCAACCACCCATCACATGAGAATTGCACGTGGCTGCCAACTCGATGTGTAGATCTAACAGTGCATTCTGCTGGCCAAGAATTTGCAGTGGCATCGCGTACTCTCCGATGCACTGCAATCAAGATACAACTCAAGCTTTCTTGACAACGCCCAACTGGCAGAATAGATGATGCCTCGTAAGAGCAGTTAGCTTGGCTAAGAACTCACCTCGATGTATTTGCGATGAGACCAACCGCCACAGCCACAAATGCCCATGTCAGTTTTGGCAGAAGATCTTCCAGGCCTCCCAAGAACTTGACGGACTTCCGGCAGGTCGGGCACCATTGAGTGTGGTGCTCCCATCTGCTGAACAGGTCAACATGCCGTAAATCTTCCACTGCATTTTTCCCAGCAGAGCGATGCCATGCTGGTCCGCCGTTGGCAAACTTGTCCGCCCACCGTCGGAAAGCTGCAACCCCCACATCCCCAAGGGTGGGCAGGAAGAAACGCTTCCAGTCCCAGTTTTCCCTGACACAAGAAGCAACACAAATTTAGCATATCCAGCGCTCATTCGTATATTCCTGCCATCACGCCACAACACCAAACTTCAGATTTCAAGGTGCATGTCCAAGTCCCCTTGAGACGTACCCAGGCAATGTGATGGACGAGTTCATCTGGAGCAGTTGCTTCCATTTCTTCCCTATTCCAACAGAAACTGCTTCGTTCTGCAAGGATATCTATTTATCCGCATCTTCCCAGGAAGGAATACACGAACAAAAATCACGATTTGATGTGAAGTAAAGTGCTGAAAACGGTCACAACGCTGCCTCAATGTAGCCACAGATCAATTGCTCCATGCTCGGCAACTATGCCTTGTCCTAACGAGCAATGCCCGTGCTCTACAGCAGCATGTATTGGAACAATAATGACACTGAGTGGGAAGCAGACTTACTTGCCCATCTGATGATAGTTCACATTTACTTCAACATTGGTGGGAAATACTGCCCAGAGATTGACTGTACAACACAAATGCACTTGACAAACTTCTCAATATCCATAACTTGGTTTTGGAAATAGCAGGTGCACATCTTGCCATTGAGTTGCCATGTTCAGTAGCTGTCGATGGAAGGTCTGTGGCTGTCAGCCAAAGAAGCGCAGGTATCTCCACACTGCTAGTGGTATTGCATAAAATCTGTTTGCCTCGCTGATGACTCGAACCATCACCAGGGCGTTCAGCTCAATTACTTGATGGCCCTTTATTATCATTTGGTAATTGACTTCAGTGCTGGTACCAGGGACAATGTTCCCTTTTACACTCCCAAAATGTGGACAATTGGCTCACAGCACTGACATTGCACAAGTCACATGAGTATGTCCGTTGAATTCACTGTCTGTGAGGCTGTGCGAGATTGCTCACCTGGCAAGCTGCTTATCTTGGCTGTGCAAGACGCTGGTATCCTGGTTGGCAATGTTCTTGATGTTACTTGGGCCGAGAAGATGTCGGAGCGACAACCTGATATATGATGGCAGCAGAAGTAGTGGCAGCTCTCGAAACCACAGTGCCACAGCTGCCAAAGCCCGGGGAAGAAAGAATCCAAGAATGCCATTGTTGATCTTTGTGGGCTTTTCAGCCCTTGAGCCAAAGAATATCCTCAGGAGTCCAGGCCGCACAGGCACAAAGTACTGCAAGACGTCCACAGGAAGTACCCCTTCCACCATCAGTGACTGAGCCAACAGGGAAGGGGGCTTGAAGCACATTTCCAACCTGCTTTTCCCTGCCTTGTTGAACTTTCCAACAGAGAGATGAAAACCACTGTTGGCTTTGGAGTCTCTAGCCTGCCGGAATTGTGTCACAGGGAGCGCATTCTTTGGCTCAAACTTGTCGTTTGTGAGAGCTGTCCCGTTGTGAACAAAATCCACATGCATTGGATCGAAGACATTCTCCATCCATATCATGTAGTCGATGGGGAAATCGAACACGACCCACTCGTTCATGTTGGGCTCAGACACCCTTCCAACTGCTGGTTCTTCCATCATGCAATCCACCCAGGAGGTGGGGGAGTCGTCTGGCCAAACCCACAGCAGGCCGTGTGCTTCCTTGGTGGGGAAGGCCGCAACCTTGGAGCGACTGTTGGCGCATGCTCTGGCTTCGGCGAAGGGGCTTGCGGCCTGAGGAATGCGGGTGCATTCTCCGCGACCGTTGAAGCACCAGCCTAAGGAGATGGTGATCAAAAGGAAATCTGTCAGACAGCAAGACAAAGCAGCAGCAGCAGCAGCAGCAGCACATAGCCGTCCGGATCACTGATGTGGAGCATGAATTTGAGCACATTCTTTCTGTATATGATCAGTCAAACACACCGAGTTGATGTGTTCCGGTCTCAACGGCCGCGCGCGGCTGTCAACGACAGCAGAAATGGAGTGATGTGTGGTGCGTCCAGTGAGCAGCAGGCTTTGGCGGGGGACTGCAGCATCGTCCAGCGGTTCTGGCCGCCACCAACCTCCTGCGTTGGCAAACCGGTTTGCGGTACCGCAGTGACTCATCGTGCCTGTGCCTGTGCGCTCTGCGCCACTGCTGACCGCCGCTCAACACCCCACACTACCAGCGTGGAAACTTCCCACAGAGAGTCAAGAGTCTGTCGTGCGCAGCAAACCACCAGTAAGAGTGAAGATGGCGTATTGCCCGCGCTATCGACTGTTTGAGGGGCCGTTGCAAGCTTTGACGCGCACGGATGCTGCCGACAGTGGGTGAGCATGTGCAGCTGTGGGCGAAACTTGTATGAAGGTTCACTGCAGAAACGACTATCGTTGGCCGCAGTCCAGGAAACTACCAGTGAGAGCAAGAAATGGCGTGTTGCCAGCAATATTGACTGTTTGCGGGGATGCAAACTTCACGCGCTGGAATGCCGCCGGTACATCTGGCTGTGGTGAAACTAGCCTGAAGGCGCCCTACCGAAAGGACTTCAATTGACCGCCATCCCACCTTGTTTATATGCGAATAGCACCAGAAATCGGGGCACAACGCAGATTCGGGTTTTGGCTTCTCGCAAAGTCACCTGGTGCAGCATGTGACGTGGTTCGACAATTCACAAGTTTAGCGGTGTGCTCTGCATTTCGGCACTCGTGACTTTGTTGCAACCCCGGCGTTGCAAACGCCAATGCTATCGCGCTGCTGAGAGCACTGGTACTTTCCGCAGCAACTAGGAATGAGTTGGATGTGCAAAAGCCATGGAGGCGTCTAGGCTATCATCGGCCAACGGTGCGGGCCTTAGCGTGGCATTCACAAAGGGGCAAGCCAGAATAGCTTGAGACGTTTGGTGGGCACGGCTGCATAACATGAAGTGCACCAGCAAGTAGACAGCTTTCACGCCGTTGGGCCATGCGCCACCTAATGCATTGCCGAGCAGTTTGAAAGCTGGCCGCCTGTTGACATTCATCGAGGCAGGGTATTGGTGCGTTTGATGCGGATGGGGGTGTAGGGGTGGCTTTTGAGAGTTTGTGGCCGATGCTGGAGGAGAGCGCGGGGATATTTTGTCAGACCCCCTGGTCGCTGGCGATCCAGAGCGCTTGGATGGCCAACTAGCTCGAACTGCGGGCTGCGGCAGATGCCCCCAACACAATTTCGGGCCTGCAATCGTGACTAAATCGCAGCGGCTCCAAGTGTGACACGACGGGTCGCCGCGTGTCCCATCCACATGCATCGACACCCTCGAGTTTCGACGCCCCGTGGACCGCGGTGTCCGCCCCTCCGACCCGGCCAGTACATTGGTCCTTCACTGGAGTCCCGGGCGGGCCCGCCGCACAGAGGCTGGCGCGTGGCCAGCCCCCGTTCGTGCGCTTGCAGTATCGACACCACATCCAGTTACGTTGGGTCGGCTCCGCTTAGCCAACCCTCTGGTGACATCTGGCGCATGCGCCGCCTCAAAAAGTGTTTAGTCAGCATTCACGACCCTTATCCCTGGCGTTTGTTCGTGACCTGGAGACGCCTCATGGGCTCGAGTCAGGCGAGCGGGCCCGCGGCCAGGATCAGAGCCTTCCATTGCGGAAAGGCGCCGCCTGGCCGCGCCAATGCCAGTGCGTTTGGCGCCGTTGCGCTCGGCGGGCAACGTTACCAAAACCAGGAGACCGCTCGCTGGAGTCTTCACAGTAGCGGCAGGCCGCTCATAGAACTAACATTGCGGCAATGCAGCCCCAGGAGGATCTGGATGGGGACTGGCAGCGGTCGACACGCACAAAAGCAGTTCTCCACCTCCCCGTTCCGTTTCGCCGCGCTCGAGCTGTTCTGGATCTGCTAATTGGCGCGGTTGGAGAACGGCCATGGGCCCACGGGGTTGTGGTCGTCAAATTAGGCTCAAGATCCTGCGGCATCTCTCTGCGGCTTGGTGAGCGATCGCGCGGGATCTCGATGGGCTCTAGGGGAGGTCCTTTGTCGCTGCTTGGATACATGGGAAGCTGCTGATCCCTCCAGCCCAGTTGCGCCGCGTCCGTGCGAAAACGTCTAGGCTGACGGCTTTTAGATCTGGTCATCTTGAGTAGCTGCACCGCCGTTGCAACTCACCTGCGAGAACGGCTGCCACGGCCGTCGAGAGCAGCGCCGAGTGCCATTCGGGACCCGAAAAAGAGCGCTGTCCGTCGTTCTTGCGGCTCAAGGCTGATTGCAAGCACGCCGATTGCAACCCCCGCCAATCTTGATGGTTTTGGACATGCGCTGTGCCAGTCTACAAATATACATATAAATCCACTAATCGTGATGCCACACGATTATTGACAGGCGGTAGCGATCCCCCTCTCCAAGAGCGGAACGCGGTCGGGATCTTCGGCGCGGCTCACCGTGGTACCGACACGCCAGCGTGCCGTCCTCCTGCACACTCCCCAGCGACAGGGCCGCCATCCTGTGGGGGCACCGGTCCTCCACAGCCCGCCAAACCCCCTCGCCGTCCTTCCACAGCGCGATATCCCGCTCCAGGATCGTCTGCCGCTGGATCTGCGGGAGCCCCGACTCGAACCCCTCCTCCTGTGCCTCCTCCAGCAGCTTCAGCGACATGATCGGGTACCAGTGCTTCGTCCAGCAGAATGTCTCGGCCCTCTCTTCCACGCCGTTCAGCTCCATCGGCTCCTTCACCTCACCCCGGCCGATCGTCGGGGCGGCCACCTCCAGCTCGATCGCCCGCCGTTGCAACGGGATCCGTCGCTGCCCAATCCCCTTCCCACGCAGTCCGACTGGGATGGCATGTGGGCAATGTTGCGCCTTGCCGATGGGCTGCGGGGATGGGCACAAGCCCCGGCGAGAAGCTTCCCGCGTTGGCACAGCCATGGCCGCGGTCCAGTGGAGGCAGTTGCGCCCGCCGCCTGTCTGTGCGCCCCTCCCAAAGGCCGGCAGCCCTTTCCGTAGCGGCGGATTTCCGTTGAGTACCTTCGGCGGGACCGACTAAAATTGTCGCGGATCATGAATGACGACTGTGGGAAAAGCGCCTGTCGCTGTCACGCATCTTGGTCGTCCACGTGGTGGCACAGTGGTCGCACGGAGGGGAAGTAGTAGCGGCCGACGCGCCATGAGCTCATGTTGCGGATAAGGCGTGGGGGTCGCTGCCACGTGTTGGGGGTGCGAAGGACAGTACTGCGGTTGAATATTGGCCAATAGCGAGCGATGCCAATGCACGCATGCGGTACAAGACGCGTCCAGCGAAGCACAAGAGTCGGCCTGCGGCAGCAGTTTTCTGGTTGGGAGCTGTTGAGGACAGGCTAATCAGCAAGAACGAATGACAGGCGCGCGACTTTCTTGTCAGATCGTGCTGATCAAAGGGGCTTTCCAGTTGGCCACTTTCCGGTGTAAGTGAATTCCGTGGTGCCGACGTGTGGTGATTCAAACCACAAGACGATGTCCGTCGTTCACCTCGGTGGGGTGCAACGTGGTGATCAAGCATCTGGCGGTTTTGCTGTTGAAATTTTTCGCTGGGGTCCACGAATCCGTGGGCGTCGTTGTAGGCTTTGAAACCGTGGTGCCGATGTGCCGGGTCTGCCACAATCCAGCTGATGTCCCAAATAAGAACAGAACATGTATGCACATGCTAGTGCCAATAACCCCCTAATATGGATGCCAAGCCACACAAGTATCCAAGAACAAGTTTTCCCCTGGCCATGCTACGAAAATGAAGAAAATGACACTACGGGAAAAGGCGGCGTCCACGTGGTTTCCAAGCGGCTCATACGCATCCAAGCGCATCTGAGCGCGCTATGGGCACTGTCCAAGGCACCAGAAAAAAAGCATCTGGAGCGTCTGCACACTAAGTGGAAGCGTCCGAGCATGTCCAGAGCGCCCAAGGGCTCAGAATAGGGCACAAACACGCAGACATTTTTTTGCACCATGCATAGCGTGGACGCGTCGGACACTTTCTGTATGTGCTCAGACACTTTAAGGGCGGACACTTTCATCATCCGGATGGCGTGCGGACACCATTTGGAAAATGCGGGGACGGTGTGTGGGAGTGTACAGACACCGTCCGGGAGCACGCAGACGCCATTTGAGGTGTGCGCAGACAGTGCATGGACTTTTCGATGTTGGATGTCAATGGTTTTGAGGGGAATTGCCAGTTGTACCCTGCGCATTGCCGTTTCATGTGGCGATGCCGACGTTGGTTTGTTGTGTTGTGGCGCACCAGTGGCATGCACCGTGGATTGAGTGTGAGGGCTCGAATGGTCGCCTGCACGATTGCTTTGGGTTTGGGGGTGCAAATGGCCCTCCACGCATTTTCTTTTGTTTGGTGGTGGTGGCGCGCACTATAAGCCGAATTTTGGCGATTTCCCACTTCTGGAGACCGCCGCACTTGAGGAGCCTACGCACAAGCAAACAGAAACCTTCAGTTTTCCAGCCCCCCGGCCTCCTTTATCACCAACGATGGTAGAGCTAGGGCAGCTTGCACACACAGCACACTGAAATGCCAGTTCTTTACCAGCTGGCTCTTCCATCGCTGGCAATCGCAGCTTCTGGGTGGCCTGCACAAACAGCACGCAGAAACTGTGAGTTCTTCACCATCTATCTT